ATAGCTCTAGCCCCAGTAGGACCATGAGGACAAGGAAGGTCAACAAATGATTCAACAGGTATTTCTGGCCATTGAAATGTACCACGATTTGTTACAATAGTGTCATTTTCACAAGTACCTGTGATATACAAAAATTAATCTACCAAATCAATATGTTATCTTCTCACTAGTTTCACATTGACTATAATCAGGATTTTCCCAGCCAACTCCAGTAGTCTGACACATTCGAGTGACATTCATCATAGGGCGGTTACCACAAGGCAGTGTAAGTATAGTATTACCAAATGACTCTGACCATGTGTGAACACCAAAATCTAGTGACTCAGTTTGGCTTTGATTGCAAAACCCAGTGACTAGAAAGCTACAATTGTATAAGGTCAATAATTTAAAGTCAATATTACCTGACATTACAATAGACTGAAATGCATTATTATCAGTATCTGATATAAAGGTACTTATATTATGCCAAACAACAGCCACAAATGAACTGTTTGGTGGATACTCCCTCACATCACACTCTACACGATCACCAGTAACATCCTCCTCCATTCTACATCAATTACTATATGAAACTTATTATGAATCAACTTACAGTGGAACAAAGTGACAATATATTGTCCTAATTGGATTTGTTGTTGAATTGAAACCATCAACAACATCAGCTTCATAAAATATCTGTAGGGGAAAAGTGTAGAAGTACAATACATAATTTTACTTAAGCTACAAAAGTGTGCATGTATACATTTGCTTCAAAGACTTCCAGTGTATAATCTTTATCCTCAACATCTGTTAAACTTATATTAGTAAAGAAAGTAGTGAATCTGAAAAAGAATTGAGAAAATGGGCCATTGGGATCTGAAATAATAACAATTAATGTAAAGGTAGAAGAATTAAAGTACATACTTCTAGTATTGACTGAAACTGTTTGAGAATAATTTCCAGATGAAGATCTGCATGTGTATGATCCAGAAATATATGTATCAGGTAGTATAAAGTCACCCTCACGATCAAAGTCAATGTAACTTATTAAATATGCTACATCCATGGACTCAAACTCAAACGTATCTTCAATATATTGCTGTGAATAGAGTCCTTTAAAGTCAGAAATGGAGACTCCTTTATTAAGGAGCCTTGTTCCATTATTGGTTGATGTGAAACTTGATTTAATGAACTTGGATAAATTTTTAACTGTAAAATTACTACTCTACATGTTTTCTTATGTATAAAATTTCTTTACCTTCATTTCCATTTGAATCAAACCACTTGAACTCTTCTCCTGTTGGGCTTGAACTACAAAACAGTCCACATATCAATCCAAAGGCATATCCTTGATTTATTGTATAAGAATCTCTGACAAGTTCACTCTCGTGTATGTCATAAATCAAAAATGTTCCTGCGGCTATTATAAAAAGATAAAAATTTATTTTAATGCTTCTCTAATGCAAGGATAATTTTTCTCATTGAACTTAATAACAAACTTGCATTAAGAAGACAAATAGCATAAAATCAAATGGGTTTTAGTAAAATAAGGTGCTATGCTGACTATAATGAAGTAACTTATAAAATATAAAAAGCTATTTCAATTACTTGTTTGATCTAATAGAAAAATACAATACTGGTAGTGAGGCAAAATGTGAATTTTACTAAAATCATGCAGCTACTCAATAATTAAACTTACATACTCCACATTGACTGTAGTCAGGAATATCCCAACCAGTAACACGACAAATTCGAGTGACAGAACCACAATGAAAATTACAAGAATGTGAAACAGAAGAACTAGTCCTGCTACTAGTCAAGGCTACCTCAGGCCAGGTATAATTACCATATATTGATGATGTAGTGTAGCTTTCATTACAAAACCCAAATTCTAAAATGTTTAATAAATTTAATATTTGAACATTACTTATATATATATATGTACCTGAAAAGTGAAACTGTTGAAAATCCTCAGAAACTAACAGGTTAATGGTTTTAAAAATTCTTTGTGCAACATTCAACATCAACTGTTCATTTGGTGGATACTCTCTTACATTACACTCAATGCGATCCAATGACTGATTACCAATATGCTGTGCAGTACTGCAGTATATTGTTAACATGATTTTAATGAGAGCTATAGGTTCTTACAGTGAGACAAAGGAACAAGATATAGTCCTGATTGGATCATCTGATGCATTTAAACCAGCAATAACAGCAGTAGTAAATAACTATTAAAGGAAAGAATGAAGGAATACATGACAGTGTTTCAATGTACAGTTTTCCTTTTATTAGTAATACTATGCATGTGCTATATAGTTGAATGAATAAACCTAGCTTTCCTTCTCATACAAAAAGCATTATCTGAAATGTGTGCATAACAAATTAAGGTTCTTACTCTTGACTCAAAGACTGCTAAATCATAATCCTTATTATTCACAGAGCTTGCACTAGAAATTAAACCAGTCATCCTTACATAAAACTCAGAATAAGATCCAGTAGGGCCTAAAATGTAATAATCATACTGTATCTGAACAGCAATAGCTTAGTTTGACTAAGTTTTTAATGGAACATGTTAGATCTAGATATCCATTTTATAAGCTTCAATTGAATTAGAATCACATATTCATTATACATACCTTAGGGCACCTTTCTTTTGACGGCTATGTATTTAGCGGATTTTGCAGATTTTGTTGCTATTCGCAAAAATTAATTCCTCAAATTAATTGTTTATGGGGTAGAAAATTTGAATTCGGGATAAAATCGTGAAATTTAATGCAGCAAATTATATATTCACTAAATCTATAGCCTTCGAAAAAAGGTGCCCTACGGTATTCATAGGGTTTCTCACAAAGCATGCTAACTGAGCTAAACGGCATGCTTCAAGCAAAGCAATATGGTAAATAGCATTTGGAACAACTTTAAAAATTCAATATTGCTCAAAACCAGTCCAACTTATACACAACATAGGAACATGTATCTGTATCAAAAAATTATAAAAATGGAGAATTTTTTCCTAGCCATTTTTGATAAAATTAAGGTGGTTGTTGGCCCAATTTTTAAGCAACTTTTAAAAATTTGTTAAAAAACATGTATGCACAGGTCGTAAAAAGTGAATTCTCTCTGTAATTGTGACTTTTGTCAAAATATGACCTTTGGCCCCATTTTTGTGTAACTTAATTGACAATATACTGACAAGAATCTGCATGATCTAGTACTACATGTATGTCAAAATTATGTGGGAAAGATCTGCACATGCATAAAGAGCACATACTTGACACAATGATAATAAGGTTTAGCATCTCATCTCCATTTTGACAGGTGTATTGCCCACCAATGGAAGAATCAGGAAGTATGATATCAGACCCATCCACATAACTTGACATCAAAGAGGAGTTTGAGGTATTTGATTGAAAGAGTTGTCTAAAATCTCTTATAGATGCACCTTCACTGAGTTCACTGGTATTTGTAATACTCGATGCTATAAAACTGGATGTACTTTGAACTGATAAAAAATAATTTGAAAGTGATGCTAGTTTTATTATTGTACCTTGAGTTTGGTTTCTAAACCATGTTATTGTAGGGCCACCAGGATCACCACTGTAAGAGCATACTAATGACAGATTATATCCTTGATTTATTCTGTATATACTATCAGTAATTAATTCACCAGTACCCAAATCAAGAAACCGTAATTCTATAGTCATAAATTAGTTCATAATATAATTATAATCATTATAATCATCATTATTATTATTATCAGCATACGTTCCATGTAAATGACACATATGCCTAAGCATATACTATGACATTGTCATATGCTATCAGTTAAAAATGAGTTGTACACATAATTACTAACTACTTTCAGTGTACCGTAGATCGGGAAATTTTCGTTGTTGAAATATTTTCGCGGATGAAGTAACCCGTGAAAATTTGACACATGAAATATTTTCTACAGTGAATAATAAGATTACCAGAATTATTCTAACGTACAGCGGTGCATGCACGAGGCTCTTTTAGTCTTCTAAAAGCCCAAAGAAGGCCTGAAGCTCTCACCCAAAAGGCTCCTTGTCAGTTTTAGTACTGTCACGAGCAACTTCCATTGAATAGCTGTCCATCGTCATCAAGAGTTAGTAGCCACTTGTGCGGTTTATGACGCTTCCAAAAATTTTCATGTTGAAAAAATTTCGCGAATGGGTCAACCAGCGAAAATAAAGCACCTTGAAAAAATTTCACGCCAATTATTTCTAACATGAAAACTTCCCGATTTACAGTACACTGTGACATACATACACTGTATGACATTGTATAAGCCATGAAGAATACACCAAAATCTATTTATAATGCATGATATCATAAACTGTTTTAAAGAATGATGCATGAGAGATGGTAAATAAGACTGTCAAGTCATAAAAGTGGCTAGATATTTTTCAGTGATGACAGAAATATACTTAAATTTCATAACAATATATAATACACATGAATTTGTGATATTTAAAATCTGCTATTTTAATACAAAGTAAATTGACTACTTACATGACATATTATTATTATCACAAAACAATCAGGCTAAGATTAAAAGCAGCAATGAGGAGTGATTTGATATCTGCACAGAATTCAATGATTGATCAACTCACGTGAGTCTGCAACAGATAAAAGACACAGGAATAGAGCTACTGCTCCCATTACTTTTGAGATCGAATACATCTTTGACTCATCAGAGAGAGAGAACAACTAATGTTTGTGTAGCTGGGACTGCACAGAATATATGTAACAGGTCCACATGAGTGGCTTCAATACAACAGGAAACTTGTATGATAGACTGGTAGGTGATTCCTGGCTAAGCACTTATGAGGATTCTGCTGCTAATAGTAAACAAATATAATTCAATTTGTACTAGAATTATTATTGTTACTGATGCAAATCACTACCACAAAAAATTTTGGAATTTTTCTCGAAAAATGTGATAAATGTGCACGGATAATTCTTTCCTAACTATTTTTCACAAAGAATATTGCGTAGTTTCAATAAAATGATTACATTACAGTGTAAGTAAATGAATTCATAAACATAGCTAGATCTACATGTGATTCACTGTTTGACAACACTAACTTTAAAAAATGACAGACATAATTAGATATTAAATTTAAGTGAAATAAACTTCTTGCAAAAGTTGAAGTTAGTACAAAACAGGGTACCAGACTCTGCTATGATTGCTAGTTACAACAATACATGGTGGGCTAGGCCATTGGCATGTACTTGTATTGTCATATACATTACAATGCATGTAGAAAGTCATACACTAATACCAAGGATATTTCCACAAAAATACTTATATCATACGTCATTAATTGCAAGCAGAACTACATGTATTGCACAAGCCACCATATGACACAGAGTGAGCTAACAAAAGAAAAAGACAGAATTGCTAAAGAAATATGGAAGTTAGAGTGTGATTATAAGAATTCATAGATTAGTGGCTTTTCTTGGCATTTTATCAACAATTCCCTTCAATGAGTACATACAACGACTTTTTATAAATAGATATGTTTTTGACAGAAAATTTAATGAGGAGAGAACTAGTTTAGGGTCATACTCTAACTATCATAATAAAAGAGCAGGTTTACTCTTTATACTGGAAATTATTAGTTGCATTATTATTAACATTAACTAATTAAAAAAGCAAAAAATTAAGGCATCAACAAGAGCACACCAACTAACTGTACACTTATATTAAAATGTTAAAAGTTCAAGGAATAAAAAATTCAAAATTCATTCTCATACGTATCTTCATCATTGTCATAGAAGTCAACATCAACTTGCTCAACATGATGAGTGTGCTTATGAGTTGAATGACGCTTGACACGAGCTCCTTTCAGTTGAACCAAATCCAAGTCACCACTTTTCTTTTGACTACCATGATCAGCTGGAAAAGCATCTTCTTCAATCAGAGGAGGAAGATAAATTTCATCCCCAGATTTTTCATTTGAAGTGCTGTCTTTAAATTCAAAGGTGCTTGAAGAATAAGTGTTAGAGCTAGTGTCATTGGACAACCTTTTTTTGTTAGAAGACAGAAAATATTTTGATGTCATTTGCCCTTTTTTCACAAGACATAGACACAATAGGGATTTCCATGCTGCTCTTGCATCACTGCTCAGTACAACAAAGAATATAAATATAAAGAATCCTTGGAAAGCATTGAAGAAAGCAAATAAGAACTGAAGAGCATAAGAGACTCCAGGCTCAGAAATAAAAGTAAAGATACCAAAGATCCATGTCAAACCAAAGAGGAACATTATACCAGTAAAAGACAGTAACAATTTGACTGCTTCTGATGGAGTTATTGTTGATTTCTGTAGCCGCTGATTTTTTTTCACAGCATGCAAGATAAGAACACGAAGTATAAGAATGCAAATGACTGAATTGAATACAAGAATGAGCATAACAGGAACTAAGAAAGCCATCAGGAACACAACTAGCTGTCCTAGGAAACAACTATGAAGAAGATACATTTACATGTATGTACAATCATTATCAACTTACAATCCTTCTTCAGTGTTTTCATAAAATGTAATGTAATGATCCGCATCTACTAATAGTGCTATTGCGACAGGCAGTAAAGGAAGAACTATAGAATATAGTAATACAACTATACACAGTTAAATCATTCTTACTCCAGCATATGAGGGAGACAATCAGAAAATATTTCCATGTTATA